ATGCCCTAATTTGGGGGAGTATATGCAGACATATTTTAGGAATAAAGTGTCATGGTGTCTAAATTATTTTTAAATGGCTTACTAAATATTTATATTAAATATGGCAAAATATTAACCATTGTTAAACAGCTGGTGGGGTTTGGGGTGTTCGTGGCACAGTTTTTCTACTCTTCTGCATTTTTGAACTTTTCCATGGTTGTATGAGTGATGATACTAATGAAGAAGTCATCTCTGGGAGCGATGTATGTTGGGGCTCAGTAGGTTTCCCTAAGCCTGCTTTGTGGTTTGGGAGAAGATTGCTGGAGGAGAGCCACGCAGGTGGTGGGTGGAGGCCACTAGTTAAGAGGTGCTCACCTGCCAGGACTTTCCTGATGGCTCAGCAGGCCACACAGGCCTTTTTCCCAGCTCCCCTTCAATGGTCTCCTAATAGCCGTGGGATAGGGCCTCCCACTTCTACACTGTACCACAGACTCCCCTTGGCAGCTTTGGGGAAGCTCAAGTCGCCTTGGCTCTGAATCCACTGGAAAACAAGTGAGGCTGGATAGTTTTACAGTGAAAACTCCATGTCAGATATTTGCTCTCAGTGTCCTGGGACTATGAAATATAACAACCCAAGTAAATGACCACTCCCTTCAATCGCATTACTCACTGGAGCACAGTAGTACGTAAAACGAATCTACTGCCTTGCTAAGCCAGGATGGAATCTTGTTAGACTATATTTCATTTTGTTGTTGTTGTTGAGGTTTTTGCCTTTCTATTCATGAAGTCTCCATATTTCTAATAAAGCCGTTTTGAATAGTTTATTCTAGACAGAATATAAAGTAGAATAGTACTAGAACTCTGCTTTGTTCTTAAAATATGGGTCACCCTTTCTTCCTGTCTCATAAACACTACTAACTCGCCCCCTCTTTTTTTTTTCCCCTTGGAGACTTGATGTTCTTTGGTGAACCAGAAGGAAGTGAATGTCATCATTTTGGGCTTCAGTGGGGGTTGGGAGATAAATATGAAAGGGTGCCTACAGAACAGCAGCTCTTTACAAAGCTCAAAACGTAAGAGGCAGTCTGGCAGCTGCTTAGGAACCAAGAGAGGAGGGCAGGAGTGGGGAAGGAACTTCTGCTGGTATTGGAAATTGTCCAGAAACGCGAAGCAATTCACAAATACAAGGGGGCTTCAGAAAGTTCATGGAAAAATGGAATTAAGAGATAATGGAATTTTTCTACAAAATTTTGAAGCCCCCTCATATATTATTTCTAGAAATAATACTTGAAGACTCCTAGTGGAAAGATACTTCTAAAACCACCCAAACTTTAATCCCAGGTTCCTCCTGTGTTTACTGATCCCCTTTCTCAAGTTTAGGAGGACCACAAGAGCTAGCAAGAAGACAGGTAAAATTAAGCGATTTCCAAGGGATTCATAGTCTTGGAATACTTCTGTCAGGCTTTTTAAATGAAAAAGTTATTGTCCCATAATTTCCTTTTTGTCTGTTCCCCACTAATCTCTTACTGACCCACTTTCAGAGCACCTGTGTGATACCAAGCAGAGTAGAGAAAGCAAAGGGCCTCCTGGATTCTTTGCCAAAGTGCTGTTTACCTTTAAAGAATAGTGGAGCATTGCTTTGTCCCCAGCTAAGCACAAAATCACAGTGGCCTGCTGAACTCTGGAGTTGATTTCATTAAGAGCAAAGATAAGAAGGTAGTATTTATCCCCACTTGTTATTTGGGTAAATGAAATACATCTCCCTGAGCACTTCAAACCCGCATGTTTCAGCAAGCAGTAATTTTCTCTGTTTATGTATCAAAATCAGTTTGTCATACGAACTGACACAAGTACCTTTTGTGTTTAATCTTTCTTCAAGTTTCTCTTTAAACAATAACATTTTATGTGACTACTGGTATTTGAACTAAGCAGGTGCAAGTTGTTTGCTTTGGTTTGGTTTGCTTCACACATTACAGTTGCCATTTCTCCTGTCGGTGCTACCTAGCTAGGCAGGGTGTCTTCATTGAAACCTCCAATTTAGGAATGATTCATTTTAATGTAACCAACCTAGTCCTTGGGGAGTCCTGCTGTAGCGCTGTGGGTTAATGCATCAGACTGCAAAGCCGTTTGAACTGCAGGGTTGGCGGTTCAAGCTCACCAGCTGCTCCTCGAAAACCCTACACAGGGTCGCTATGGGTCGGAATCAACTAGACACTTAACAACAACAACAACCTAGTCCTTGGGTTAAGGAGCCCTGGTGGTGGAGTGAGGTAAGCATTGAGTTGCTAACCACAAAGTCAGCATGTCAAACCCACCAGTCACTCCGTGGGAGAAAAATGGGGCTGTCTGCTCCCATGATTGACAGACTGGGAAACTCTAAGAAGCAGTTCTGCTCTGTCTTAACAGGGTCACTGTGAGTCAGAACCAATTCGGCAGCAGTGGCTTTGGTTTGGGGTTTTATCCTAGGGGGTTAGAAGGTAGAATGGGAATAAGCTCAGTTCCCCCTTGTAATGTTAGTAATAAATCACTTCGAATTTGTCTTACACGGTTTCATTTTTTTCTGGGGGAGTGGTGGATTGAGACTTTTTAGATAATCACTGAAGGAGCATCTCCAGACACCAGATTTCCTGAGCTGTAGCTTTCCTTGTAAATGGCGGATTTAGTCCCTTCCTGATAATAGCATTTTACAGGTAGAGGTTTTGTACAGGGAAAATATTTTTTTTTAAATCTGAATATACCACTTTAATTTTAATCACTTAGAGCTACAAACCTAAGTGCAGCTCACTAAAGAGGCTTGCTCAGTTAGATACTGCATTTTTGGTGGTGGTGGTTGTTCACTCTTTTGGAATAGTCCAATTATAAATCATTGCTTCAAAGATACATTTCTAATTTTGCTGTTTGTAGGTCCCAAACTGTTAAGGACCTTTTGTCCCCAGCCACAGGACAAATGAAAAGATGCGGAAGTTACTTCCTCTCTCACAGTCACCTAAGACATAAACTATTCATTTTAAAGCAGTACAAGTATTTTCATTGCTAAGCACGTTCTGTTTGCCATGCTAAGCAGAAGAAAGCCATATGACCGAAATGCAGTCCATTTTCAAGTGTACTAAGAAAAAATACAGTTGGTCTCAGTAAATGTGGAGATGACCCTTTCATAGATGACACTGGTATGTCACAATCCTGATGCCTAGAGCAATTACACTGTCAGCTCATTTAGACACAGCAGCAAGTCTTTGGTCTCTGATGGCCTGAAACTTTCTTCAGGTGTGTCAGCAGGAGACTGAATGTAAAAGTGGAAACTTCTTTAGATATGAATCGTAGATGATGAGCTTTGGCGAGTCTGATGGTCCTGGGGATCTCCACTTACAGCTCTCTCTGTCCCTCCAAATACGTGGATAAGACTGTGTTGGAGGGCTAGCAGTTTCCTGAGGATTCTCACCTCTCGCTGGTGGACCTTTCATTTTGAATTCTTCTACCAATACTGTACTATGATGACCGTGAACAATTTTACTTGATCTCAGGAAGATAGAGTTGCGTGTCCCTGAGATGAGTGGGTTGAGGAAGCAAGATACTTTGCATGAATCATTTGAAATTCTACCACCACCTATAAGATAAATGATCATACTTTAATTTTCACAGATGGGTATACTCCTTTGGACCCGGCTTCTTTGGATTAAAACTATGTTTATAAGATTTGTTGTTATTATTTTTGCCTTTAGTAAGCCATTCATTTTCTAGGGGACAATATATAATGCAACTGTGTGAATATCACTTTTTTTTTTTTTTTCCAATCCTGTTGATGACTATATGTATTGGTTCCAGTTTGGGACTATTATGAATAATCCTGTCATTAACACTGTATGTTCATACTTATGTTCATTCAGCTTTTGTAGATACTCAAGGAGTTTTTCCAAAATGGCTGTGTGAATTTATACTCCTATCTGCAGTATATGAGAGTTCCAGTTGTTCCATGTTCTTGCCAACATGCCTTTTATTCTTAGGCATTCTTATGAATTGTTGTTATTCTGTTAGGTGCCTTTAAGTCAGTGCCAACTCATAGTGACACTGTGCACAATAGAACAAACCACTGCCTTGGCCCTGTGCCATTTTCACAATTGTTATTATATTTAAACCTATTGTAGCGGTCACTGTGTCAGTCCATTTCATTGGGGGTCTTCCTCTTCACTCTCTACTTTACTAAGCATCAAGTCCTTTTCCAGGGATTGGTCCTGCCTGATAGCATGTCCTAAGTCCGAGTTGCAAAACCGTGCCTTCTTTACTTCCAAGAGCATTCTGGCTGTACTTCTTCCAATATGGATTTGTTTGTTCTTCTGGCAGTCCTGGGTATTTCCAGCATTCTTTGCCAACATCGTAATTCAAATGCATCCATTCTTCTTTGGTCTTCCTTAGTCATTGCCCAACTTTCACATACATAGGTAGAGATAGAAAATACTATGACTTGAGTCAGGCACACCTTCGTCCTCCAAGTGACATCTTTGCTCTTTAACACTTTAAAAGAGGTTTTTTGAAAAGTGCAATTCTTGTGAGGTGGGGGGATTTCTTCTAAACTTACATCATATTTCTTTTCATTTCATTCAATATAAAGGTTTTCTATACTTGAATTAAAAATAACCCATCTACAGGCAAAATGCAGCCGTCTTTAAATAGGATTTAAATGCTGTTCTCTGTGAGTCAATAAGTATTTTGTAGCTAAGATCTATATACTGGCTCAGACTGAATTAGTCATTCCATCTGAAAGGTCTGATTTCCAGGTGTGCTAGTCAGATATCCTCATTTATTCTGTTTTACAGATGATATGAATGAGCAGCTTGGTAGTAGGGACCAAGATTGTAATGGTCAGCCCTTCTTCTCAAATGAGACTCTAGTGAGTTTTTTTTTTTTTTTTTCCTTTCATTTGCTAAAGAGTTACTGAATGTAAAGTCTGTGGTAGACACAGGCCTGGGCTCTTGGGATTCTGTGGCAAACCCGTTTATAATCTAATGACATCCTCTTTCATTTCACAGGCTACGGCTTTCAAATCACAGCCTACTTCCTCAAGAGAGGAATACGCCTTCGCTGCATCAGGGGATCACCTAGAACTGGTAAGAAAGGAATTTCTTGGGTCATCAGGCATTTTGCACAATCAGCTCAACCTTTAAACGAAACTTGAGGAAGGCTTCATTACCTTTTTGCAATTGAAGTAGTAATTCAGGGTATTTCTAAACAGTTGTGAACATTTCCCCCCAGATTTGATGTTTTCACTGCCTATATGAGAGCAGTGAGCTGAGCCACACTGCACTTCACTTTCCTAATGCATCCCCACCATCTCAGTGAGGCTCCAGAGTGACTCAGCACAGTGTAGAACTGTGCGTTACATTGGCATTGTCTGCACACAGCGTGGCACTGTGATACAGAGCAAATGTGTGCAAGACAAAACCCAGCCTGAGCCATCAAAGCCGGCCACAGCTTTCCCCAGTCTCCCCAAGTCAAGAGGCTCACTGAAGAAATGCTGTCAAAAATGTGGAGTCCACAACAACAAGAAAAGGGGACACTCTGACCTCTCTCCAAGTTTCTTCAAGAATTAGAAATGAAATCCGTCTCATTGTGTTTGAACTATTTAAAATATATCAGATATGAAACAGGGGCTTGGAAAAATGTACAGAGGTTTGCTCTTGAAATCTTTATAATTCTGAATGTTTTCTTCATTTTAACTGTTGCTTGCAAATATTGCTCTTAATGAAGTCTTGCATTTTGTTGAACTCTTTTCATAAAAAAATTAACAGTGTTGTTGTTGTTAAATGCCATCGAGTCTGGTCTGACCCACAACAACCCTGCAGAGGGTTTCCAAGGAGCAATTGGTGAGTTTGAACTGCCGACCTTACAATTTAAACTGACCTCACAGTCTAGTGCTTATCTTACAGCACCAGCCATACCAGGACTCCAGATTAACACTATATTTGTTAAAATGCTGTTTGTTAAAATGCTATGTTTCACTGTTGTAGTTGTTAGCTGCCATCAAGTCAGCCCCTAATTCTTAGCGACCCCTTCTTGCACAAAGGAATGAGGCCATTGTGTTCCATCAGGTTTTCATCAGCTAACTTGCAGGAGCAGATTATCAGGCCTTCCTTCCTTGTCTGTCTTAGTCTGAAAGCTCCGCTGCAACCTGTTCAGCATCATAGCAACGTGTAAGCCACCAGTGACAGCCGCATGGTACATTGGCCAAGAATTGAACTCTGATCTCCCACACGGAGGGCAAGAATTTCACCACTGGTCCACCACTGCCCTCATCCTTCTCTGAGAAAACTGCATATACCTTTACGTTATGCAAATATGACCCCATCAAAGTAAAGGAATATAGGGGCCAATTTCTGCAATACCTGGCACCAAAATATTTATAACTCTGCCATTCTAGCATCCATATTTTTTGAGGAGAAAATGGAAGAACAAACAGAAGTAATTATTTGCATGTTGTTGTTGTTAAGTGCCGTCGAGTCGGTTCCGACCCATAGCGACCCTGAACAGGGTTTCCAAGGCGGTAAATCTTTATGGGAGCAGAAAACCTCATCTTTCTCCCACGGAGCAGCTGGTAGTTTTGAACTGCTGACCTTGTGGTTTGCAGCCCGATTCGTAACCACTATGCTACCAGAGCTTTAACTGATCATTTTGAATTCTAACTCTAATCCATTACTGAGCTATCCTATTTAATTGTATTGTAAGTAATGAACTCTGTGGCTCAGTTTCCTGACCATCCGTGTCTGATGCACATAAAAAGCTTCATTTATATAATTCATATAATTCATTTTATCTGTCTTTTAAAAAATGATCGCATGTAAGAGGGAAATTTTATGTTTTAGGAAAGTGACTTTATTTCTGTTACCATAATATGATGATATTTTTGTATTATATAAATATTCAAGCAATACAACCAACTATAAAAATGGGAGGAGAAGAGCCTCTTCATCCACCCAGAATATACACTGTAGCTTCAGCTACACATCACTCCAGGGATAAACGGAAGCTAAGTGAATGAATAGATGATGGATAGACAAGTGAGGGAAGGAGAGAAACAGACAGCGTTTACCCTTGTGTGTTATTTTCATTGGATGTTGGGGAGTCCAAACCTGTGAGTCATTCAGTTTTCCCTACCCAGAAGTCAGTGGTTGTGCTTTAAGATGTTGTAATAATAGATGAAATCCTGGTGTGGCACTGTGGGTTAATGTGCTGGACTGCAAAGTTTGAACTGGAACTTACCAGTCGTTCCTTGGAAACCCTATACAGGGTCGCTATGGGTCGTAATCAACTCGATGGCACTTAACAATAATAGATTTCTGTGATCTGGTAACGTAGTGGTTACGAATCGGCCTGCAAACCTTAAGGTCAGCAGATCGAAACTACCAGCCGCTCCGCGGGAGAAAGATGAGGCTTTCT